TGGATGGATGGATGGATGGATGGTGGATGGATGGATGGATGGATGGGAGGGTAGATGGATGGATGAATGGGTGGATGGGTGGATGGATGGATGTGGATAGACGGATGGATGGATGTGGATAAACGGATGGATTGATGGATTGATGGGGTACATATTACTGTAATAATGGGGGAACAGAACAAAAGCTCAAGATCATACCCCATTCAATCAGAATAACTCATATCTGAAAACCTCTCTGTACCTTTTCATATTCTTCTAAAATCCCTTTCTTCTTGATATTTCGCTTGGCTAGATAGATGGCTAGAAAATAAGACAATGGCATGTCAGATCATCATCATATTTCAAAGCCATACCTGCAGCCTCTCTATGTGCTCCCCATACAGATGTAAACTGACATAGAAGTCACATTAAGACAAAGGTTACCAAAGCACATCAAGTAAACAGCGTGTTAAAAGCAGACATGGAGGGTAGCTTTACCATAGTCTGTATCTTCAGCCGGCCACTGCTGGGTGGGCCAGAAATAGGGTGTCTACAAAAGAAACCAGGAAACCTTACTAAAACAATGAGCAGTGACACCCTGGATTCCCAGCCCTGTGATTTAAGGCATAGAGCTACCTTGGACCCAGCACTGTTTCCAAATTCCTGACCCATGAGAATATAGATCAATTGTCTTATAGGATTAGTCTCATGTTAACACTCAAGGTCAAAGTCAAGACTCACCTGAAATCGGTAGAGACTGCTGTCAGGCTTGAGAACAAGATTCTTAGGGTCTTGCAGTGGGTAAATGTAGCCATACTTGACAATAAAGTTACCCAAGTTCTGTGCCTCTAGGGAGAACCAGTTGAGACGTGAAGTTAAAAACAGGGGCCAACGTGAGACATTCAGTGCCTAGCCCCTACAAAGCACCCCAACATTGGAAGAGCTGACCCCATCCCAAAAGCACTCTCCCCAAAGAAAACAGTGGTTCCTGAACTAAGCTACAGACAAGCATAAGCTGGGGAGTGTGCTGAAAGGAAGATCCCCAGCCCAGCAACTTGAAATAGCAAGTCAATGAATCCAGAAGGAAAACTGTCAGCCCAGAAGCCAATGAGTTTCACAGGTCATCTCCTACCCTACAGGTGTTGAGGGGTGACTGTGGAGAAATACTGGGAAAATGTCTTTATTCCCATTGGAACTGGAGAAGTTTCCAGAATGAGGGGGGAAATGCTCCATTTAACCAATAGGCATCCTCACTCAAAGAAAGGAAAGGGTTGACATTTATTATCAACTTCTTTCCCAAAACACCTTTGCCTACTTATCGCATCCAGATCCTTCTGTTTCTCCTCACCTCACTTTAATCCTCCCCACCTCCCCCCCCCCGTTTGCTTATGACATAGTCTTATTTCTGGGTTTGCACCTATTAAAGGGCAATCTTTCTGGCTTTTTCTCAGAAATATGATTAGCAAGGGGAGAGAGAGTGGAAAAGAAAATGGAAATTCAATATTTAACAACAGAGCATCACACATGTACAGAGATAAGCCCCAAT